TCGTTATTCATATTGTTAGTTCACTTTCCGCGTAAAAGTAATATTTTTAGTACGGTTTGTTCTACAACATTAATTTGTGCTCTCTTGATAAACAAATTCACCCCCTCTTGATTGCTTATTTGGGCCAAGCAGAATAAACCTAGTCTCCTCCATCGCAGAGGAGACAAGATCCCATCGCTGCCTAGTCGAGGCATCGCGACGCCCACGAAGAGAGGTGTCGGTATGTAGGGTTTTGGTGGGAACATCTTCTAATTTCCAAAATGGATGAATTACATCTATCACGTGTCAATCGATATTTTACGTGAAGAGCCTATGTGTGAATCATAGAGGGGTATATACAAAGATGCGTACGTGAATGGCTTCCATACGAAAAACTTCAATTGTACGACGACTATGAGCGTGGGCATACCATAGAATCAAGTGAATTATGTGTTTTTAGGTGGTTCTGTTGCCAATATCGCGACAATGGTTCGTTAGATGTTCTCATTCTAGATAAGGGTTTATCGACATGCAGAGAAATGACTTCTTTGACTAATTAAATTATCCGCAATCCCGGCAATAGAGAATAATGCAGAAAAGTGAATTGGAAAAATTTCTGTATTATTTGATATATAAAAAAGAGCATATGGAGAGCCTATTTTAGTCTTTATTAGATGATTATCTAAGGTAATAAGGTAAATACAATATCAAATATAATCAATCAAGGATATGCACTATTAAATGATATAAATGCATAATCCTGAGGGACATGCAAAATCAAGTAAATATCCTAATATCACTAATAATGACTATAATAAGAATAGAGGAATATATGGTTTTTATTATTATATTCCCAATATTGATATGCATGAATTTTCCTTGAGAAAGAGGATATATAGAGGCGATATATCATACTTTATTCCCACTAATCAACTCCGTGAACCTCCCTTGAGTGAAATAATTATTATTGCTCTTGCTTGAATGCCGTGGGTTAACACAGCACTCATTGCTTAGAGGCTGCTCTCCAACTTCATTTGCTGTTGCACTTTTGCTCTTTCACGAACTTATTAATAAATCATAGCATGATATCATTCTAGAGACGACATCTTCTCATTGAGTGACACCAATAACTCGATCACGAGCCAAGCACGATCTACTGAATCGTCCACTTCAGTTTGTTTTGAACTTTTATTTTACATGTTGCCATCCATTATGGGTCAACGTTGATATATATTAAACCTTATGCACGAAAGCCGCCCGACCAAGTTAATTTAAGAGTAAGATGTGGAAAAGCATGATAGAAAATCATAAATATAGTGTTGACACCAAGGTCTCTTCTCAGTTCGTGAAAATTACGGATTAAATCCAGCAATAACATCAGGATTTATACTCCCTAAACAAAAACATCAACATTGCATAGTCTCGCATCCTATTTTTTACTGCATAACCTTGCATTTAGAAATTGGACGCATTTTAGTATTGTTGAGGCTAACAGTTCAACCTAGAGAAGGGGAGGGGGTGAACAGGTTTATTCCCAAAACTCAACACTTTTTTTTTTGCCGGAATAACTGACGTTAAGTTTTGATATATGTAGGTGCAGATTGATAGATGCAACCACAGTTGATAATATCATATGCACTATGCTTCTATCAGACAAATATAAAAATAAGTAAAGAGATGGAAGACAATGCATACAGATCTTGTAGTGTTTTGGCTTTAATCAAGCTTACATCCACTCTTCCAAAATAATAACTACCAACAATGTTGAAATTTACCCACCTGCGCATGACCGAGTTGGTGGGCGCTTTCCTTCCCTCCTCAGAAGTTCTAGGTTCGAATCTCCGCTCAGTTCTGTAATTTAAGTGGGGGGCCCTAGCGGTGGAATGCTAGGCTAGTCTCCCCCGAGGTATAGGCGCCCCAATTACCTGCGCGGGCTCGTCCCCGGGGAACGGTGGCGGATCCTCGGTTACCAAAAAAAAAAAAAAAAACAATGTTGAAATCCACTAGTAATTATGTGAGTAGTTACAATGTAGCATGTGCTACTTTACCTTGAAACAGATAGATCACACTTTTAATAAACAAGCATTACTAATACACTTGTACACTCCTTAAATCACAGATTATAGTCAGCAACAAGAACTCTCAATAGAGAGAAGCACAAGTAAGCAAAATTAAGCTCACAGAGAGAATGTGACTCTATCAGTGTTTGTAGCTTTCTCTATTTCCATATATCCTTCAACATGAATCGATTTTCTTATATAGTCTTCACTTTCCAATCTACCCATTGGATAATCTGCAAAAGGATCAATTAGCCGTTACAAATGATGGAAACAATCATGAGAGATATAGTCGCCTAAACAGTCAAATCTTTTGACAATTGTGAGGTTTCCCCAAATAGAGGTGACTATCCTTGGTAATAATCCATTCCTCTAAATTAGGTAACAATCGATTTCATTTATCTCGAACTTTCTTTCCATTATTCCTGGCCCTGAAGATAGTTGTTAATTTCCTTTTGACTCGTAAAAGTAGTTGAGGGAATATCTCGGTCTTCTTATCCAGATTGCGCAAGCATGTAACAAACGCGTTCATTGGGATAGATATAGAGAGCTGCCTTTATCGATGATTCAATAACCTTTACCAACTACTATTCATTTGTCTTCCCAAGTACATTCGTGACCAAGACTTCATTCGATCGTTCACCTTATGATGGTATTTCCAAGTCTTTGCGAACTTCTCATTCTCCTAGACTTGTTCACCTTCCATTAAGATCCTTCCAACATTTACATGTCTTTCCATGGCATACTTTGGATGCCGTTGATAGTAATAAAGCTTTCCTTATATCAACACAACCCGAAATAAGCAACATTTGCATATATCTTAGGATCATTGACCCTACATCAGAATGAATGTCAACAGGGATTTTAGAGGTTACGGACGTCTCAATTCTTTATAAAAATGGGACCTTTCACGCGTGGATAATTTCCAGGGCCCTAATCTAGACAGGCCTAGCTAAGACCCATTTAAGAACCTAAAAAGCTTGGTGCTGGGCTGCCCATGAAGGAGGTTCGGTCCATGGCTGAGCCAAGGAAAAGCTCACTCTCTAGTCGAAATGGCAGATAATCATGTCAAGTATGGCGTTATTCCTTGCCAACTTGAACCATTATAAACAAGGAAAAAATCAAGACATAAAAGGCTAGGAGAATGGACAATCTTGGCACTTGAGGAAAATCAAGCTGCCTAGATTGATAGGAGAAGAATTTCTGCAAAATGGCCATCATATTTTTGGAAAAAACTTTATACGTGTTCAAACGGTCTTCTAGGCAGTGCTATAAGCATTTTGATGCTTTCATGAATAGTCAAGACTATTCAAAAAGTCAGTTAGTTGTGTTTAGTTTAATAGATTGGAGGATGGATCTTTAATTTATCTATAATTATATGTTGATAACATATTGATAATGGCTAAGCGTATGTCTAATATTGATGTGCGGAAGCGACATTTAAGTGCTGATTTTGAGATGAAATATTTAGGTGCTGTAAAGAAGATATTGGGTATGCACTAGGGCCAAAATTTCACAAGCTGTAAGCGTTAGCCGTTACATAAAGTATCCTCATAAAACTTATTGGGAAGCTATGAAGTATATCCTCATATATTTAAAGGGGACTATAGATATTGGTCTAGTATACCCAAGGGGTGGCAATGTCAGTGGACCACACGATATGTGGATACACATCACGCTAGTGACTTGGATGAGCACATATCATTTGCGGGATAGTTGTTTATGCTAATAGGTAGTGTAGTGAGTTGGCACACATCCTTATAGGAATGTATTGGCTTGTTATCGACTGAGAGAGAGTACGTGGCACTAATCTTTATAACGAAGGAGACAAAATGGGTAGGGTTTGCTCTCGGACTTTGGATTAGAGTAGAAAAGAGCTGCCATACGATGTGATAGCCAATGTGTTGAATCTGATTTATTACGAACAAACGAAGCATATCAACATCAAGTGCCATTTCATTGGGATATAGTGGCAAGGGGCCAGGTTGTTGTGAAGAAGATCGTGACAGCGGAGAACCAGCAGACACAATGACGAAGCCCGTTCCTTTGGCAAAACTCGAGCTTTCTTGGAGCTTAATTGATATTTGGTGAGAATCAATGTCCATTGAGTCGATGGGAGAGCTGACGTGGCTAATGAGGACTATGACTTGGTTAAGCGTCGAGTCAATGTGGAGAATTGTAATATGATGTCTCAAATTTGAGCCTGTATACAAAACCAACTAGATGGAAGGATGTAGACTGGTCCGTATTGCAGAGACAATTAGACGTTCAAGGAAAATCCCAATTAGACTTTGATTTCTATTCAAATGGGTGTGCCCGACTTTCCAATCCAATTTTGCATTTGTTGTGTCGGTGGCATTTATATACACACACAGACACAAAAGAGTTATTTTGTCTGAAGGACGGTTCTGTTTTGCAACCTCACAATAAAGGACTTCGTACATTTGTTATTGCTGTTCAGAGGACATTTTACCAGTGGGTTTGTCTGTGGACTTTTTCGTGCCGCACAGTGGAGCTCCTTTGTTTGGCCGCCCGGCAGGTGCTCCCAAGAAACGTTGGGATTTGTGCAGAAAATTTTTACATCCAATTGAGGTGTTTTCTTTGCAGAGACGTGAGTGTTTCAAGTCGCGAGGCAATTCTTCCTGATTTATTTTATCAAGCAATTGAGTTAGACTAAATATTGTGGATTTGGATATAATCTAGGTTAGAAAACACTTGAGCATGTGAACAATTGTAATTATGCAATTTGCCAAATGGTTAATGGATTCTTTTCAGCTAGCTCTTACCGTAAAGTAAGTTCTGACATTCGAACCAAACCAATTAAATTATTCATGCTCTTTATTGTTCCTTGTTGTTTTCCTTTGGTGGTTTTATCTATCGCATTGATTTAACTGTAATATCCTTAGCTTCCGTATTATTTTATAGCAATATATATAGCAACAACAAAATTGTACATGTGAGATCTATCAAACTAAAAATTCACCGTTTATTGCTAATAAGTATATAAATAGCTAGATGTGATAAATCGTTGTCATGCTCGATGAGCCTCTCTTAAAATTGGTCTTCATAACTCAAACGTGTATAATCAGTATTGGCCTCTCTCCTTCATTTGGTGTCCTTGCAATCACTCCAACATCATTATTCGTGGAAGCTTCCATACTTCGCAATTGTGACGTCGGAGCTATCCTAGATCCAATTTTCCACAGAAAACCAATTAACCGGTGCTCTCGAAAGAAGATGTTTGCAGTTTCCAAAAACTTGGACCAAAGGGAGCAATCACCAGGATGAATCGCGCTCGAAGAATGCCAATGGGATTGGAAGAATAGAACCACATATATCAATACGGAAGATACTGAGATGACGCCGGTGATGATGAAGAGCCCTCCGAAACTGTACACACTCAGGCTAAGATGGTCTGAAAAGATCGTAGCATCTTGTTCTTGGCACCAGCTTTGACCTCGGAGGTATCTTCCTTCGATTGCGTCCATTTTGGCTTTATCTTGAGTGACTTTCAAGATTGCCCTTGAAATGTAGGAGACCAAAGGGGACCCCAATGGAAAGGCCTGATGAAAAAGTTATCCACGTTAGTTCATGGCTTTATCTGAAAATACCTTTCATGTTTTTGTGCATTTTCTTGCTCATATGTGTTTTGTGTAGAGTAGAGGTTTAGCTCCAACTTCTTCCAAGTCGACACGTGGTGTTTCCTTTGCACCCATCTTCGCTCTTCATCTACTCTTTCGACACGTTTTGGCCTTCATTTTCATTACATATACCCATATGTGCATGTAATTTTACGTACGCTGTATTTTTGTGATCTGTTATCTACTACGTTTTGCCCTCGTGTGTAGTGTAAATATATGATTTTTTGTGTGTGGACTTGCCCGTAAACATGCCTAGAGAGAGAGAGACTTACAAAGGCGAGCCCGTCGGCTTTATAGGTTGGTCCCACCATTCTGTACTTGTTGCAGTATCTGGCAAGGAAGAGTTGTATGTAAGGCAATTCATCAAAGATTGCCGCAACTCCTCCTTTTTCGCTCCCCTTCGAAAGTGCCTTGTGGTATTCCTCTGGCGAACCATAAGGAATCAATTTGGACTCATCAAACTTGAGCTGTCCCACGAGAAGTCCTCTCACGAAAGATCCTTTCTGATATCCGACGAAGTGACGATCCCTTATCAAGTCTTGCACGTCCACAAACTTCGGCGTCATACGTTGCACGGTTAAAAATGAAGCTAAATTTGCAGTGTAACTCTGAGTCAGGATAAGCACCACAAATACCCATACGATGAGCACAAGCCTTGTCAAATTGTTTGCAATCTTCTCTCCTACATTAAACAAAATGATAGCAAATTGCTAACAAAAGACCGAGCTAAAACAACAAATGCAAAGTAAAGTATGGAAGCCGTTACCGACCAGAAGACCATGAAGAAAATCATAATAACAAACAAGGCACGATAGTTTTGAAAGAACTTACTATGGGCAAACACCAGTGTGGAGAAGGAAAACCAGAATATTACACTGAGTTGTTGACGACGACGACCCCTAAATTCTTCATTTGTACGATGTTCAAGGAGCCAAACGACGAACCCAGTAGAAATGAAGGCCACACAGATCGTTAACCAGAGATTCCAACTCAATGGTTTTAAGAAGATCCACATGTTCCTCCGCTCATCATCCTTAATGGCAACTACCATTGCTACACCAGATTCTGAGTAGGGAAGCGTAAAATCAATGTAGGACGAGCGATTGGCGACTATGGTCGTGTCTCCTACAACCGCATCGACTCTCTGCATCATCACGTCCTCATGAACTTCAACATACATGGCAAATTCACTTTATCGTAATAAACATGTTAATGATGTTTGTGGAGACGACGCCTACCAAAAGTGTTATATTATGTCTCGAGTTTAAATCCGTATACGATAAAGGATCACACAGTGGAGAATTCTTTCTTCAATTACACGAAGGATTTCTTCGAACATAGGAAGATTTATGCTGTGCTACATCCAATTGAGTTGTTTTGTTTGTAAACACCATACTTGGACCGAATCACGAAAAAATCTGTTATTTTTTATTGTTCCTTGTTTATTTTTTTTGGTGGTTTCGCATTGATTTAATTGTAAAATCTGATAGTTTTCTCATTATACTACTACAAAACAAAAAGAATCATACATAAATACTAGCCAGCTATATCAATGACATTGTGCATATTGATGCTGTGTGGACCACTTCTTCTGCAAGGATATTTTTAACATGAATAGTACAAAAGCTGAAAAAAGAACAAGAAAGAATGCACTTAATAATGAGGACTATCATGTATTCCTTTTCTTCACCAAGTCATTTATCAACGAACAGCGGGCTAAAATTTTGAAGATAAAGCATTGACTAACCTGAAGTCTAATTTCGGACAACATATCGTCGTAGGTTCCTGCACTTTGCCTACTCTCATTCACGGAAGGAACGTACTGGTGAGGAATGGCAAAAGGCAATGCGTCCAGTACTGCCAGAAACATGTCATGGGCGAATCCTGAGTAGCTGGGCACTCCTGTATGCGGATCCCACTCTATTTGGAAGAACTCGCCAAAGCCGTCTTTCTTCGGAACCCCAATCCTTAGATTCTGTCCTGATATCGGCATCACCCAACCTTTCGGTGGCTTTAATGTATCTCCTGGCCAAGTGGGAGGCTTCAAATCGTTGGCCGAAGCTGGATACTCTGCCTTCGGTGATGGGTTCAATTCGGGTGAAAGTCCTTGCGCCGAGGTCAAATATCCGATGATTTTCTCTGTCTGTCCTACAACATTAAAGATTTCGAATGCAATGGGCTGAAGTTGCCCGTTGGGCAAGTTAAATTCTCCGCCGACACCTTGAAATTTGATGCTTAGAATTTTGTCGAACAATTTTGGGCCGATCTCCGATATCCCGATAGACGAAAAGTTGAGATTGTTTCTGCTCGTATTCGTCTTTAAGTATCTAGACTTTGCAGGCTCCCATGCCATCTCTCCTGCTATTGCTAGTGCTGTAACGGTGTCATATGCCCATAAGCCAAAGAGATTGAGATCAGCAATCTCGTCATGTGAATTTCTATCGGAATAAAGCTTTGTCCATCTCTCTTCGAAATCTCTACGAGACTCCGATGGTGGTACATGCGGCCTTACACCTAGTACACCTTGCAGCGAGCCCAAAGCCTCAGAACTGACCGGGTCTAGTAAAGACGACAAGCCATCGGTGACGATCCACGCAAATTCCTTGCTCATCATTTTAGCATTACTTGCCAGAACAAAGAACCTAGACCCAATCACTGCAGTCATATGAACAAGAAACACTCTAGTCTGCATCACCAACAACTTATTGAGCTCTTGTATGATGTCGATATCTTTCGGAGATGGAGGAATAACGCTTCTGTAAGAGATCCGAGCATCGACCTCTTGGAACGCGTCGACAAGGTATGGAACCAAGCCGTTGCCATAATCAGTGCCTTCATAAACGAGAGTTATTTCTTTCCAACCATAAGCTTGAACAATAGCCGCTAAAGCACCAACTTGTGAACTGTCATCATAGGCTGTCCGAACGAAGTAGCGTCTTTGTCTGGGAGAAAGGGATGGACTAGTGGCTGAGAAGGATATGATTGGGACTTGAGCGTTTGCTCCTAAGTCGACTACAAATTTGGCTTGTGAGGACCATTGTGGGCCTAGGATTGCATGGACTTCTCCATTCTCCATCAAGTCCCAAACTGTAAACAGGATGTATTTGATTAAACAATTGATCTACCAAAAAAAAGTGGGATTGCATGGACTCTCTCTCTCTCTCTCTCTCTCCAGATCCATCGAGCCTCTAGGTCTCGAAATGACGGCTCCTCCATTGTGGCAAGCATTGAAACGAGACCAAGATCTCGACAACCATGGAGGAGCCCCCATGATTGACGGCAAGAGAAGAGGGGACAAGGCAAAGGAGAAAGAAAGATAGAGAAAGGGAGAACAGAGGGGAGAGATAAAGAGAGGAGAGACAAACCTCTTTTTTAGCAATAAAGCACCGCAAAGCTGAAAAGAGGGTGATAACAGGCCAGCCGGGTTTTAGGTAAAATATAAGCCCGACCCCGAAGGCTTCAGGCCTGTTATCCCTAGGCCCAAATCAAAGTGTTTTGTGTTAGAAAAGTTGGTATAGATAAACTTGTCATATGTAGAAAGGAAAAGACTTATCGTATTAATAGTCTTAAACCTTTCAATCAATTTAATCCTAAATCTTCAATTCAATCTATTTGGCCAATTAAGGCCAGAAATTTTTTATGTAGACGCCAGCCGTTCTGTGGCCAGAGGCCGAAGAAAAGAAAAAAAAAGGAAAGGAAAAAAAAGAAAAAAGAGCAAAAAATTAATAAAAATTTTGAAAATTTATTAAAATTATAAAAAAATTATCCATGTTAGCGCCGGCCGTGCCACGTGGAACGGTCGGTGTCTATGTCAGTAATTTCCGGCCTAAATAAATTGAATGGACTGAATTGGTACTAATGTGAAAATATTTATGACTAAATTGGTTCAATCGAAATATTTAGGATTGAATTAGTATCAATATAGTAAGTTTAGAACTTTTTTCGTACTTTTTCCTATGTAGAAAAATCATTTTGTTTGTTTGAGACGCAGACAGAGAGGGGAAGAGATGGTGAAGGAAGGTAGTGCAGCTAAAGGGAGGGCACGTGTGGTGGTTGAAAGAGTAGAAACCAGTTGACTTTGACTGTTTGAGTCAGTCTTACGTTTGAAAAGTCGATGATTCGATTTCTATCTCTATGCGGAAGGAATTTACTGAAGTCTAGGGAATATGCGACGGCGGTTGATAAGAGTAGACCAGAAGTCAAGTGCATTTTCTGTTTTTTTTTTTTCACAGAAAATTGACCTCAGCTTTTTTTACAGGTCAAGTTGTAGTTTCCTGCACAATTCCTTGGGGGCATCTCTCGCATTACGCTTGAAAAGAAGGGGCGCGGGCCAAAATTGAACCCAACAAAGTACGGTAAATTTTTAATCAACCCTGACTAAATCACTCGGTAAACAAACCTTACGGTGAGTCCACCCCTTCAACCTGCTGTCGCGCAAGATATCTTTTTCTTCTCTCCTTCCATTCATCAATGACGAGCCTTATATTGGACCATAATACTAATATTATAACTGTTAGATGCCCTATCAGAACCTACTTAGAATTCATTAAACTATGTGGATTGATCCTTTCAAGCCAACTTTTCAGTCTATTCTACATTAAAAGCTCACACTAGAACTGTAACAGTCTGAATTTTCGATCATTTTTCCCGGGATTTAGGAAATGAATTTGACCAATGCACTTATAGTGAGATCTCACCCGGAAATGCGCATTCTCGGGATGCTAACCTTAGGGGTAGGGCCGTTACGGGATTGAGTTCGCACGATCAAAGAACTCGACCTGGGTTCGATCTTCGACCATATGGATTGACGAGTGAATGTTTTGAGCCAACCGAGACCGGTCTACTTGATTGATCGTGTCCGAAGGGAACTAGCGACAGACCTCACAATTATATGACAACCGAGGTCGTCCCGGATGGAGTAAACTTAAACGTGATTTGACTTAGTGTCGGTCACGGGTCGAGAGCGCGTAATTCCAGAGAACCACCCGTTAGCCAGAGATAAGCTAAAGTCGCGATTGTTCAATTTTAGTCATTTCTTAGAATTCGGGCCCGGGAATCGAGAATTTTGAAAGTGACAATTTTGGACGGCCGATGACGTTTTTGGCTTGGCCAACCTTGGGGCCACCCATTTCTGCAAAAAAATGGATTTCGGTCCGGGGCCGGAAAAATTACGGTTTTGCCCCTGTGGGCACCGAGGCTGGATTCGGAGGCCGTTTGAGGTTATTTTTCGCGGCCAAGGTCATTTTGGGGTGGCCACGCACATTCAGAGTGGTTTTGGCCAAAAATTGGAATTTCGACAAAAATTGAAAAAATAATATTATTTTATTCCCGAGACTTTGACGTGAATTTTCGAGGGCTTGCGCGATGAATTTCGCGATTCCGACGCCATATTATGTTGGCCACGCACATATGGAACACGTATGTGCGAAAATTGGAATTTCGGTTCGGGATCGGAAAATTACGAAAATGCCCCTAGGCCATTTTTGGACAATTCCGAATTTAGAAAATTTTTGGGGTTCTAACCAAGGTGAGTTAACTTAATTCAGGTCTGGTCAGCCCTTGGTTAGGGACAAAGGACCATTTTAACCCTAAATTATTGGATGAGAATGTAAGATAGCCATTGGATCAAGGGCAAAATTGTCCAATTGGCCTAGATTGAGACACATGGATTCCACTCACACCATCTTTGACCCAATTGACCAGAAATCTCTCTCTTTCTCATGCATTTCCCTGATTTGCCGAGCCCATTCTCCTCGTTTCTCTTCTTCCTCACCGTTTCTGGTTTTTGCCGTGCACTTTCTGCGAATTCTGGTACTGTTCACGCCGGAACAGTACCAGCTGGATCTGTCCCCGCCGAGCCAGCACCACCAGCAGCTAGTTTCACCCAAGAGCAGCCACCATCAGCCCCGGTTTTAGTCCAGAAATAGCCCTCTCTCTCCTTTTTCCCTCTTTTCTCATTTTTCTGTTTTACAAACAGTACCGCCGGAGCTTCGCCGGAGCTCCAATCGCCGTTCCGTCGACACCCAGCCGTCCAGCACGTCCATACGTCGCCGCCCAGCACCGTCAGTACAGTGTCCGTACGGTTACTGTTCACCGTCAGTACGGATCGCTGTTCACGCCGGACCGTACGGACGCCGCGGCTGTCACCGGCCACCGTCCCAGCCCTGTCCGTACGGTGTCCGTACGAAAAGTACTGTTCACGCCGTTCGTACGTCGCCGGCGACACTGCTCCCGCTGCTGCCGCTGTCCCGTCCCGTTCCAGCCCCGTTCTGTCTCGCCTTTTTGGGTAAGTGTTTTCCCCAAATGTCATTTAGGAGTTCGGGTATCGTAGGACATGTTTAGGGTTTAGTTCGGGTAGTTTATGTGGCTATTTTAGGACTAAATTGAAGGCTGATTGTGTGGTTGTTGTGGGCTGAATCGGAGACTGAGTTGGCAAGGAAATTTGCGAGGTTTAGGAGGCTCGATGATGGCTGAGGTGTTGTGGATTGATTGTGACTGAATTGTGCGATTGATTGGTAGAATTATGCCTTGAATGGCACTTTGTATGTGGTTGTGTGGCTCGTGATGGTTGGCTGGTTTGGTGTGTGTTTCGGACTGAATGTGGCTTGGCCGTGTGCCTCGTGTGTGTGGCCGCGAGGTGTGTGAGTATGGGAGTGTAATTGTGCAATGAATTTGTGTACCAAGAGTGTGTGGTTATGTGTGCGTGTTCGTGTGACGAGAATGAGTAATCGTGAAATGTGTGTGAGGTGTGTATGTTTAACCATACGTGGTGGATTGTGTGTAAGGCGTGAGGTTGTGTATGACCGTGAGTGTTGTTGGCCATGTGTAAGTGTGGTTTGAGTGGAACGAGGGTACGGAAATGTAGGATTGGTTGGAAAGGATCCGTCCTGAGGCGTGTACGTTTACGCGGGACGATGCCGTCCCTGACGAGGTGACGATGCCTGGCCCGACGGGGTGTCGATGCCTGACGTGGTCAGAAGACCGTTGGCCTGATGCGTTTTACGCGGGCGGGATAGAAGGAAAGTGTGTGTAGGATTCCGTCCTGAGGCGTGTTCGTTTACGCGGGACGATGTCGTCCCTGACGAGGTGACGATGCCCGGCCCGACGGGGTGACGATGCCTGACGAGGTCAGAAGACCGTTGGCCTGATGCGTTTTACGCGGGCGCGGTAGTGGTGGTGGAAAAGTTGAGAATGAGCGGGAATTGGCTTGAGGTGCGAGGTTTGAGAAAGTGACGCGTGGTGTGAGTTGGTGTGCGAGTGTGTTTGTATTGCGCGGTGTGATGCTCTATTATGGGGTAAAAACTGCTAGGCATGGTATGGGACGTGCCCAAGTGAGTTTTGCTCTATAATCGGGGCACGCACGCAGCTGTGATGTATTTTAGTGGCATACTGGCTGTGTGGTTGACTAACGTGCATGGACATGCATGAGGAATTCCAGGTAGGTTCGTGTGTGATTGTTAGATTGATTGATCGTTGTGTGAGATGCGTGATCTGTCTGGCGGTACGTGAGTGCCTACGTGGGGTTTGGGGTTGTACACTTATTGAGATTCGTCTCATAGTTGTATAATCCACAATTTCAGACCCCCAGCCTTAGACCCAGGATTCGCAGGCGATGCCCAAGAGATTTCCGGAGGATTGAGCCAGATGAATTAGGGGCAGAATGGAGAAGGGCGATCCTTAGGTTGTCCCTAGGGTTTTAGAGGTTGTGTGAATCGGGTTGACCCATAGGGAAGTTAAGTTAACCAAACCTTAATCTTTTGTTAAAACGGTGACGGAGTATGTTCGTCTGTATTTATGTCTGTAATATGATGTTTGTATGTTTGGTGCTGTATGAAGATGTTGTTGTTTGATTGTTGTGGTGTTCTACCCCGTTGTCGTCATCTTTCTGTCTGGGGTTTTTATTCTCGCTTCCGCATGTGGCTCTGATGTTTGGGTTGGGTCGGCGACGTTCCTGGGACGTCGCAACTATTCGACCGCAGCAGGGAATGTCGCGAGCTCGATGGGGGTTCGGGGCGTGACAAGAACCAATTCATCGTATGTGTATTAATATCGTCGATCAGACAAGGAAAAATTTTCTACTAAAATAGTTGATGAAACGTATTTGAAGCTCTGAAGAATAAAGAATCAATGGTGATAAGAGTTTGAAATTGTGAATAATCTAATTCATGAGAGCGAGTCCAATATATCCGGCACAAGTGAAATAAGTGCATGTATTTACCTGCCGATGCCGCATCGACGACATCATCCTTTGGATCTTTGGTGAGAAGCGACAATCGGGTACGGTAGTTAGGGTGCGCATCATAGAAATCAGAGCACGCCATGGATATACAACTCTTCACCACCTTCCCGATGGTTGAGTTCATGCTGAAAATTAGCCCGACTTGAATCATTTCCTTTGCTGGGTTCTCTTTGGGTACACCGGTGGAGGTGTCGATAGTAGAGGCCAGCTGAAGGAAACCTAATAGTGCAAGACTCAAGTAGCTTGTTTGGCCCTCCATATCCTGTGTATCTTGGTTGCTGTTTTCTATCGCTTCACATGTTGATTCCCGACTACTTCTATATGGATCTTTAAATTTCCTTGCTTATTCGTCAAGATTTTCTTTGTGTTCCGCCTACAGCTGTAAGCATTGGAAAAATCGTTCTGAAGTTTCATAGAATTTGACTGTCCCATTTGTCAACATTGACTGATTATATGCGAAAGTAGTAGTCCTCAGTCAAAGTAAAACTTGTAGATTCATAGGAAAAGATGTGGAGATTCATTGGCTTTTTCCTTGCAAGTATGTAATGTTTATTGTCAATTTGTGAGGGTCCACATAATCGTGAAAATTGATTTTATCAGGATTGGAAGCGTCCCACTAATTTCTCGCTTATTGTCATGTGGCATCAAAATAAACAACCATAGGAGAAACGAAAAGGAGAAGGTGATAGGTCCGCGTGTATAAGGTGTATACCATAGATGCATCTGCTGAAAAAAATGGATGAGAAATACAAAAGTATAAGGTGTCCATGACTCGATTCAAAGGTATTTTTCAAAGGATTTTGTTAACTAGTATCCCTAAAATCTCACTTCCATGTTCTAAGGATGCATCTGGGAACATATTTCCAAAGTCCTTTAGGCCTCTAAAGGTCCTTAGACAATGCAATGCATTTCCATTGGAGAAGTGCAACACATTTTCAAAATCTTCCAAAGACCTTTCTTTCAAGGCCACTATAGACCAATACTGGGCATTCCGGCATTTTCAGAATGCTGGAGCACATCATAAATAAAAATTTTATTCCAATTTTCCGTAGGCAATTTTTCGTATTCTTCTTTGACCCTTTAATTTAGCACTGTTCAACTTCTCTTCCTGCAATCTGGGATCCGAGTTTGGGAGATCGGAGAGCTTGACGGACGCCGACATTGGGTTGCCGGTCTGAAGCTCTGCCCCAACTTTCACCGATGGTTGTCGAGGGTGGTCGATAGTTGTGGATCTGTTAGCTGAGATCTGGAGAGTCAAGGGTCACCGTGTCGAACGTCGCTGAGGTCGAGGCTCGCCTGTCCTGGTTCTACCTGGACTGATTTGTCCCGAGTCCGGGATCTTCATGCAGGACAAGAACCCTGACCTTCCTGGGTATTACCAAAAGCAGATCGTCAGTGAGGAGAAGCATCAGGAGATGAGGACGAGGATGATGATGGTCTCGTGGAAGACCTTTCGGAAGAATGAAATTGGTGAGCTTTTGGATGGAGTCGGAAGAGTTTGTGTAACGACCATATGAGAATATCTTTTCCTTTCTACTCAGCATCCAATTGTTTCCCTTTGCTGTTCGGAGAGTAAATAGTTGTGGATTCCGGAAATCTGTATGGTTCAATAATGCCATGGAATTTCCCTGATGGCATATGTGCTCAAAAAACCAATTGAAGCTTTTCAACTTTTCCATTTAGGGATCTGAGTTCTGAGCTTTCTAGTAGTATTGGGGAAGTTGATTGAGCTTGTGGGTCTTTCCATTTAATGGGATCGTGAGGTGAATAGAGATCTGAAAATTGTGCGATGCTGATCTTCGCTAGTAGAAGGCATCGATGGGGCTTCTTCAAAGTCTCGTGATGCTTGTACTTAGGGATAAGAACAATAGGAGTGCCATAACTTTCGTACGGCGCTCACTCGCCGTAACTTTTTTATCGCTCACTTAAGTGCCACGAATTTGAAAAATCAATCACTTAAGTGCCATTGGGGATTTACCTCGCTGGGAAATCCGACGTGGACACCGGTCATCCTACGTAGCACTGTCAGCGCCGACATGGACAATTTTTGTAATTTTTTTGCTCCCTTAAGTGTCACAAATTTGAAAAATCGATCACTTTAAGTGTCACAAATTTGAAAAATCAACCACTTAAGTGCCATCAGCAGTTTGCCTTGCCGAAAAATCCGCTGTTGGCCTTGCCCAGATCTGGCAAGGGCCTTCACGCCCTCGCTTGCGGCCAACGAGGTTGACATGGCCCTGGACGAGGGCGCGATGGACATGGCCCTAGGCGAGGCCATTGCGGCCTTGCCGACCGCGGGCGAGGGTGCGAAGGCCATCATCGGCCGTGGGTGAGGCAACCTAGCCGAGAAGGCCCTCGCCTGTAGCCAGTGATGGCCTCGCCTAGGGCGTTCGCGGCCCTGCCGGCCGAGGGCGAGGCCTTTGTGGCTACCGGTTGATGCACAGAAAAAAAAAACAAAGAAAAAAAAAGGAAAATAATAAAATAATCAATATTTTTTAAACAAAGAATAAAAAAAATCCACGTAGGACGATTTGTCAAAAGTGGCACTCAAATGATCGATTTTATTTCGATGTGGCACTCAAGTGAGTGAAGAAAAAATTATGACACTCAAGTGAGCACCGTACGAAAGTTGTGGCACTACTGCTGTTCTTATCCCTTGTACTTCAGTAATGGTTGTTGCTCTCAGACTCAGAGGTCATATTGTTTCTACCAGGAATTTCGATTCTGCAGAACTTTGGATATGGGGGGAGTTTTCGAAGGAAGGCGATTCGATGAATGTCACACCCCGAACCCCAACGGGCTCGCGACACCCCTTCCACGGTCGTATTGAACGCGACGTCCCAGGACGCGTCGCCGACCCAAACGAAACACCCAACAATAAAGGCAAGCGGAAGCGAAATTAAATAACCCAGACAATAAATAATAATGAAGGGATAGCACGAAACAATAATTGCATACCATCATAAAGCAGTCACTATACAAAACGATAACTCAGGCTACCAATTTAAAACCACAATTTTCAAAAGGGGACGGTGGTTGACAAGCTTATCTCCTCTACAAAAGGTACTCAAAAGACAAGGTAAATGATCTATCCTTCAATCCCTGTGTGGTGCTCTAGCAGCATCTCCGAATCGATCACGGTCGCGGATCTGAAATGGTTATATAATAACAGTGAGAACGAGTCTCAATAAGCAACCCCCTATACCCCACGTAGGCCAATGCGTACCCAGACAAGTCGTACATGCAATCTACTCCATAACATATAAAATTCGCATCATTGTACTTACCTCGTCATCAAGCCTATGCCAACTCTACACGTTAGTCACAACGTGATAATACAATAATAGTAATTAAATAACACATCACAATCGCTCAAACACCAACCACACTTGCACTCAATCAATCCAACTAATTCAACCAGCCAATTCAATCACACGCTCAACCAGCCAATTCAATCACACAATCTGGGCTCAATTCTAATAACCGACGTAAACACGTCTCGGTCCAACACACCTTTAACGGGCCACCGTCAACACGTCTCAAGCCAGCATCCATTTGGCACACCGGCCATTCATGCTTTCACACAGACCGCCGTCAACACGTCCCAAGTCCGTAGCCCTCCGATCAATCCGGGCTTGTCTCATGCACATGCACCACAACACAATTCAAAATTCTCACAAGTCGTACCAATCAAACTCAAGGCATGCTCACCACAATATTCCACAAACCCGACCTTCAAGTCGGTCACATTCAGCTATCAATTCCACTCACAACCGCCACGATAAGCCAATCATTGACTCACCATAATAGCCACAAATATGCACCCACAATCATCCCAATTTCAAATCACAAGCTCACGATTCCGACAGTCAAGTCAACACATTCAATTAATCCAATTAACCTACAAGCGCCACGACAATTCAGTCATGCTATTTATCTCAGTCAATCACTAAATTAGCCACACAATTACCGCCACAATAATTCACAAATTGAGCACAATCAGTCAAATTAGCCCACGCCTAATTTAATTCCTAATCCGGTACCAAGCATATCCTAAACAAGTCTAAAAATACCCACAGTCCTAAATAAAGAATAGGAGGTCACTTACTTGGTTTTGGCTCGGAGAAAATCGGCTCGGGCATAAAATGGCCCTGGTGAACAGTGCCGACCTAGGCGCGGGCGCGGGCCAACGGGCGCGCTGACCGGCCAACACTGGCACGATGGCCGAACGGCGTGCTTGGCGCACGGGCGCGGTGGTCGAACAGCGTGCCGGGGCTCACGGGCGAGCCGGACGTGCGACGCGCCCGGGCTGGACGGGCGAGCGCCGGGCGGTCGCCTGGGCGAGCACGGCCACGGCCTGGGCTGGCCCGGTCTGCTCGGCTATGGCCGGGGTTGGCCGGCGGGGCTGGCTAGCTGGCCGGGCTAGCCGGCTGGCCGGCCGGGGCTGCGGCGGCGACGGCGACGCGGCGGTGACGGTGATGCAGCGGCGACGAGCTGGAGGGGAAGGAAAGGTGAGCTGGGGAGGGGGTGGTGACGGAGAGAGAGAGAGAGAGAGAGAGAGAGAGAGAGAGAGATCGGGGCTGAGGGAGAGGGGCGAACCGGCGGCGACTGGCTGGGCGGCGGTGCTAGGCGAGCGGCCGGACGAGCTGGCCGGCGGCTGGCAGAGCTCGGCCGCGACGAACGCAGCGGCGGGCTGCTGCTCGCGCAGAGGAGAGAGAGAGAACAGCCGGTCGGGGTGGTGACAGGCGGACGGCGCGACGGCGGTCAGGCGACGGCCGCGACGGCGACGTGGCTGGAGGCGAGCTCGGTCGGCGTCGGGCAGGGCTAGCGAAGCGGGAGCGAAGCGGTTGCGGGAGGAAGAAGGAAGAAGAAGAAGAAAGGAGGGAAAAGGAAAGGAGAGAGAAGAAGAGAGAAGAGAGAGAGAAGGTCTGACAGGAGGGGGAAAAATGCGCGTGAAGGGACACGTGCATGGGGGGCCAACGTGCGCGGCAAAGGGGGAGGAGAGGGAGAGAGAGAGAGAAAGGACCACAAAGTCAAACCTAATGATCGCGATCCGACGGCCCACGTTCAAACTCGAAAACGATCTAACGGTCCACAATAATTCTAATTAATAATTTAGGAAAAAGGGCCAAAAGAAATTAATCCAAAATACACTACGAGGGAGGTCTACTAGTCCAAATTCGCACCCGGTCAAAAATCCACTTTTCACATATTCCTGGCAATAGCGACGCTGGCCACAATAATATCGACACCGTCCAATTAAATTCGT